CAAATCAGCTGCTTTTTGTTTCTTTCATCCACCGCCTCTGTCTACCCAGCGGTAGAAATCAAAATAATCATAATCTTTATTTATACTGGAGGAATCCGATGAACTATTAAGCTCTTTTGAACAAATGTCCAGCAGGCGCTGGTCAGAATGTTACAACAACAAACAGCACAAATCACGATAGCGGTGAAAAGTATAGGAAAGGTGAACATGTCACACGGAAAAAAACACCTTTTTGTTTTAGCAGGTAAAGCCCACTGAGCTACTAGCTTCTTTTTCAGAAGTGACCTTGCCACAAATGATAACTCAACGAAGTGGCTTATCATGTGGATATGTAAAGCAGCCAAGTAATCGAAATGAGTAGAACCACCGTCAATTAGGTTGGTAGGTCACGTGTGGTGGGATAAAGTGTCCGAGACGTCTAGTAGCCGTAACATTTGAAATGTGTGTGTGTGCATGTAATTGTCGAGCTGAAATATTACATTTTTACATTTAATTACGTCCTCTGTCTTGTCTTGTTCCAATATATATTAATGCAGGAGTCTGCTATTCTGGAGCACATTGTATAAATAACATTTAAATTGTTACTGGATTGCATAAGTAATGTCCAATATTTATGCAGGGCAATATAGCAATATATAATAGCTTTCATTAGTTTCAATTTTGTTCATACATATGCACTGACTGGATACGTCGTGTAGACAATAATTTTACGTGTATTTTTGAAATTCAGCTTCTATTGATTTATATACATTATAGAAAATGGACTGTCAGGCTTGTGAAGATGAGAAATTAATGGCGCACACTCACTTTTTAAAAATTTCATTTTCCAATATACTCACCACTATTGATGTCTCACCATCATTTTAATTTGTAATTTATCAGTATTACTCTATGTAAAGATTTGGCCTTAAATTAAGTCTCACATTGGGCCATTGTGACATCCCGAGTTCATTCCCGATACGTTTCAACTGCACGTGTGTTGCATTTTCAGCCTTGTACAAGCCAGATGTTTTACAAATAATTTAAAGTTTACATTTGGCACAAGCCTAGTTCAGTTTGTGCTTGCAAGTTAAATCTTTCTTAAAAATATATTTAATTTTGCCGCCTCCCCACCCCCACTAATTCGGGAGCAAAATATGTTTCATTCTGAAAATGTGTACTTAGATCTACAAAGGCTTGCACCTGGAGGCTTAGGCAGTTGGGGATGGCATAGTGATCTTGTGCAGTAGGTGTAATGTGATTGTGTAGGCCCACTCACCTCTCTTGTGAGCTGTCATGGTGACACTCATGCTACGTTTCGATGGACAGGCTTAGCAAGGGTGCAAACCATTCATGATAGCCTTTAGTCATCTGCACGTTCAATCCAAGGTTGGAGATCTTACAAATAAAGGTGAGTGGGTTACAAGAGTACATTACACCGACACAAGATTTATTGTTTCTATTTTGGTACTTTTTCTGAACAGGGTAATTCCTACAGCCAATAAAAAGGTGGATAAAGCCCTCCATGAGTTACTTATATAACATATGCTTGGAATTTCTCATGATCCCTAGGTTGGAATTAGAATTATATTACTGAAATCCAAGGCCATAGCCATGGAGTCAACATTGGGGGGCAGCAAATCTTCCAGGGTGTCTGGAGGCCCCAACCCAAAAAAACAAATCTACATATGAAAACTCACTTCCTGCCTAAAATATTTAAAAATTCACTAACACATGGGATGGACTTTTATTTATTTTTTTACAATAATGTCTAATAGTGTATTGTATTACATTGCTCTGTTTTTACTTTTTTACCATCTCTTGTTTCATTGTATGTTGTATGTAATGGCAGAGATTAGGGATTAATAAAGTACAACCATAACCACAATCATATAAACAGAAATCTAAGCATTGATTTATATGAAGACAAGTCTAGATATTGTGGCCAAGGTTTATTAACAAATTGTTGTTTTTATTTACATAGCATACCAATTAATTTTATAGCAATATATTGGGGGTGGGGGGACATTTTGAGCATACTTGAATATTACGGCCTTATTGGGATTGAAAATGTGGAATCGTGGTTGGAGGGGGGCATGCGTGCAGCCAGCAGTGGTGCCCATGTAAGACCTGTGTGGCCAGTCTAATAGAATCGCCATTGATAAGCACGGTAGATGCCTAGTGTGCAGAATTGGCCAAATTTCACCCCAAATCTTTCATGGTGGAATTGTAGGAATCCACACAGATTTTCGTAAGCATTGTTCATCTCTCATATGTATTGCATATAAAATATGCATCATATATATTGTAAATAACCATTACTGCCCCAGTTATCATACTCATGCTGATTACAGTACAATTAAATGCAACATTATTTTTTTTATAAAGCATTGCAATCTGTTTTGACGAGGCAATTGGATAGTTATATTTTGAAGCAAGAAAAATAATAAAACTGTTTCATAATTGAATACATAGAGGTCACATTTGAAGAAAATACTGGACTTATAGTACTCATGAATGGGAACAACCTTTTCTATGACATGCCTTCAGGGTCAACATTTGCCATTGACAACTGTTCTCGAACTCGAGAGAGACTTGCAGTGATTGTGTGCTCTGAGCACTCTTCAGCGAACCATGCTTGGTTTTACAACAACAACAACAACACGGTTTAAATGTTACAGGCACAATGTAATACAAAGAGATTGTTTCAAGTACAACTGAGCGGCCCACGGATACTCACGTCTATTTATTTCCTTTCAAATTCCCACTTTGCTCAAACGTGCTATGTTGCACTTCTTTCGCGCCGTACGTAGCCAACCACGTTCATCGCCGGTGCGGTCGTGTTCCTCTACGTTGACAGCCCTGAAACCAGTGGTGAACATTCTACAATGTTTGTGGCGAGGACCAATCTCTCCAGAAGTCAACCGTTACACGTGACGCACTGTAGTGATATATGCACTCACAAGAATAAGGCACATCCCTACATTTGCTTGCTCACTCCACTGCAAGCAGAAGGGCCTCCACGAGAATGAGGCCCTGGAAACCTCCACGCCCTCCGAGGGTTATTTACTACCTTCCCGTCCACAATTGCTCGGTCAGCTGTCGTGAAATACGGGGGAGTACCCACATTTTACCACACCTGATCTACTGTCATGGACTGTACTAAGTTGATGTATGTTAATGACGGTATACTGTGATACCACTGCAGCATCCCGAAAATACGATATATGCAACAAATAACATAATAGTAGGCAAACAGTACACTATGTTGTATACAGTATATAGATTCAGAGAATTGGGCATATAACTAATATATTCTTGCGTATGACAGCAATATGGGCCGGTGTTACAAGCTAATGTCGAGGTCTGCTAGCCACGAGAGGGCTTCAGGAAAGTGTTCGTGTGGTTTTGCAATTTCTCCGATGAAGGACCGCAGACGACATCACTATGAGCTATTACAGTATATAGAGTAGTATATATCATGAAACAATTAAAATAAACCCAAAGGGTACGGCACAGAGGGTGCACACAATCTAATGTGACTTTTTTAACCGCATCGCATCGCAACAAGAAGATCAAATTACCAGGCAACTTTAACAGTGAGAGGAGACGAGCATGTGAAAGCAGGAGTGAGCACACAGAGTGGCGTGGTGATTGAGTGGCATGGTGAGTGGCATGGCGAGTGAATGTGAGTGGTGTGGTGAGTGGCATGGCGAGTGAATGTGAGTGGTGTGGTGAGTGGCATGGTGTGAGTGGTGTGGTGAGTGTGTGAGTGGCATGGTGATTGAGTGGCGTGGTGAGTGTGAGTGGTGTGGTGTGAGTGGTGTGGTGTGAGTGTGGTGGTGAGTGTGTGAGTGGCATGGTGATTGAGTGGCGTGGTGAGTGTGAGTGGTGTCAGTGGGATGGTGTGAGTGTGGTGGTGAGTGTGTGAGTGGCATGGTGATTGAGTGGCGTGGTGAGTGTGTGAGTGGCATGGTGAGTGTCAGTGGCATGGTGAGTGAATGTAAGTGGTGTGTGGTGAGTGGCGTGGTGTGAGTGGTGTGGTGAGTGTGTCAGTGGCATGGTGAGTGAATGTAAGTGGTGTGGTGAGTGGCGTGGTGTGGTGAGTGTGTCAGTGGCATGGTGAGTGAATGTAAGTGGTGTGGTGAGTGGCGTGGTGTGAGTGGTGTGGTTAGTGAGTGAGTGGCATGGTGATTGAGTGGCGTGGTGAGTGTGAGTTACATGGTGAGTGAATGTGAGTGGCGTGGTGAGTGGCGTGGTGTGAGTGGTGTGGTGTGAGTGGCGTGGTGAGTGTGAGTGGTGTGGTGTGAGTGGTGTGGTGTGAGTGTGGTGGTGAGTGTGTGAGTGGCATGGTGATTGAGTGGCGTGGTGAGTGTGAGTGGTGTGGTGTGAGTGGTGTGGTGTGAGTGGTGTGGTGTGAGTGTGGTGGTGAGTGTGTGAGTGGCATGGTGATTGAGTGGCGTGGTGAGTGTGTGAGTGGCATGGTGAGTGTCAGTGGCATGGTGAGTGAATGTAAGTGGAGTGGTGAGTGGCGTGGTGTGAGTGGTGTGGTGAGTGTGTCAGTGGCATGGTGAGTGCATGTAAGTGGTGTTGTGAGTGGCGTGGTGTGAGTGGTGTGGTTAGTGTGTGAGTGGCATGGTGAGTGAATGTGAATGGTGTGGTGAGTGGCGTGGTGATTGAGTGGCGTGATGAGTGTGCGAGTAGCGTGGTGAGGGTGTAAATTATGTCTCCCCAGAAGTTGCATGTCCCCTGCAACTGGAACAGCAGCATCAGCAGCCAAACTCCTGAGCAGCAGGGGTCATGCGTGGCCGCTCCTGCCTGCAGCAGCCGGCAATTGCGAAAGAAATGAGAGAGAGAGAGAAAAAAAACACCCTTCGGGGTGTGGAGGAAGGCAAAAAATGTGGGGAGGGCTCTGGTGTATGCGTGTGTGTATGTTACACACACGGCCGTGTTGAGCAAGGGAGAGGTAAGGCAGTAGACAGCTGATTGTTGTGGGGGGTGGCGTGGAGGGTGGGGGGGTGTTGGTGGAGTTAGTCGCAGTGGTGTAAGGAGTGGACCGTGCGTGAATTTTTTTCAGCTGAAGTTGCGGTTGGAATTTAAAAAAAAAACCCTACAGTATATATATACACACGCTGGTGCTTCGCGAGAGAATCCTTCAGCAGCCGTACGGGCCGTGGGCTTGGGCAGAGCACGCTCTATAGCGCGAAGAACAAGCCAAGAGGAAAGGAAGAAGAAGGAACGGAGGAGGAAGAGGAGCAGTGTAGGCGGCTGCACTGAGTGCACAAAGAAGTAGGCGCTGCTCCTGCTGCTGCTCCTGCTGCTGCTGCTGTGTTGTTGGACGATTCAACGAGACGCGCGTCTCGGGCTGCGTGGTGGGCTGGCGGATCAGCAAGAGCCGCCTTGGAGAGCGACGCGCGTGTCTCGAGACAATGACAGCGGCGGTGGCGGTGGTAGCAGTTGCGTGACAACGACAATGGGAGAGCGTCAGGGCGCAAACATCCACCCACCACCCACCCACCCCCATCATCACCACCACCAACCCTGCGGATCTCCCTCTTGTGCTGCTGAGTGAGTAGTTGCAGCAGCGGCAGCGGCGGCGGCAGCGATGTGAACGAAGGGCAAAGAACGCGCCCGAGCCACACTCTGTGCACGACGCCGCTGCTGCTTGTCGTGTCGCCCCCAACCAAGCCGATACTTTTACGAACGCCGCAACTTGTCTGCATCACCCCAACCACCAAGCAAGAGTGCGTCCGGTAAGACGTTTCTATTGCATTGCTTCAACCGGCCTTTGTTCCGTAAGGTTAAGTTACTTGTTGCCACACCCCCCCCCCCCCACACATACTTTTTTAGGCGCTGTTTGTTCCTTATGCTCGCACGAACCTCTCCAATCGGCACGGTGGGCTACTTACGGCGCGAAAGAAGTTCAACGCATTTCGTGACTGCAGGGATTCATCTTCTTGGTTCTTTCGGTAAAGTCACGTAGAAGGGAAATAATAAAATAATTATTATTATAATAACACATAATAAAATAATTCTCACGACGTTTCGGCCACAACGCAAGCAGCCGTCCTCAGATGAAGACCAGCTCTGTCGGGGAGACAGCTACATTATGTTTTATTTTGTTTATTATTTTTTTATTTTATTATTTCCCTTCTACGTGACTTTACCGAAAGAACCAAGAAGATAAAGTTCAACGCACGTGTGTGTGTGTGTTTGCGTTCGCTCTTGCGATCCTATCTCACGGTGGATTAATTTCAGTCGTGGCCAGGATTCGTGTGTCCGGCATTCCACATCCAGCCGAACTCAAGTCTGTCGGTGATGGGTTAATTCATTCCTGCGCGAAACCTAATATGCTGCATGTGTTTATTCTCAGCATCATGTGCACGTCTGTCGGCGTATATGGAGTACACTCTGTATCACGCAGTTTAGGGTGCTGCTTGTAAATGTTTACTTGCCTGGCAATCTAAATTACTCATTCACGGTTAAAGTCCTTCTAGGGATGTTTAGGACTGTACTGTACTCCTCTTTGGTCAAACGTCATTGCCCTTATTTCTGAATTTGACCAAAGTGAACGCGATAAAGAAAGTAATGCATCGTTTCAAATTAAACGTTCAGTTTGTTTCCAAAAGTATTTATTAAACTGTTCGTTGTAAACAAAAGTTATCGATTTATACCATGTTAGGATATATTATTGTACGTGGTTCTTTTTCGTATTTAATTTTAACACAGTACGTCTCAGAATCTGAATTTATTTACACTGGAGAAATCCGATGAACTATGAAGCTCTTTTTTCACAGATGTCCAGTAGTTTCACAGATGTACAGTTTTCTTGGTTCTTTCGGTAAAGTCACGTAGAAGGTAAGTAATAAAATAATAAAAATAAAACATAAAATAATTCTTACGACGTTTCGGCCACAACGCAAGCAGCCGTCCTCAGGTGAAGACCAGGTCTGTCGGGGAGACAGCGTCTGAATGTCTCCCCGACAGACCTGGTCTTCACCTGAGGACGGCTGCTTGCATTGTGGCCGAAACGTAGTGAGAATTTTTTTATTATGTTTTATTTTTTATTATTTTATTACTTCCCTTCTACGTAACTTTACCGAAAGAACCAAGAAGATGAATCCCTGCAGTCACGAAAGCTTTAAATCTAGATGTACAGTCGTTTCGCAGACGTTTCGGTCATATTTAGCGTGGGCTTTCTTGCACTGTTTAAGGGCTCTCCAGATCTGCCTCCTATCAGAAGGCTCTTCTGCCAGCAGTGGCATTGGCGAGCAATTGCAGAGCTGCACCTTCATCGTTTACCTTTTTACATATTTGGTCACGAAGATTTGCACTCATCGTTTTTTTTCTCTCTCGCTTTGCTCACACCTTAGCATTTTATCCAAGTTTTCCCCTTATAGAAGGTATTCTCAATAATCTCTGACACAAAGGAAACATTGAATACCCTGTATTTCAAAATAATGGGTCCCCAACTATACATTTAGAGACGTCCAATTGAACTCACACTGATAAATATATGCGATACACTGTTTATCTCTCTTCACACGTTGCATCTCACCTCAGTTTTTCCTGATAAAAAAAAGAAAATAGTCTTCACCCGATTAAAAATAATGATTTGCCAATCGACTTGGTTGTGCATTACAAATTAATAGCAAACACATGACGCCCAACTGCTTAAATTAGACACACAATCAAGTTTACACTTGTCATATATACCTTCGTGTATAGAAACAACTGATGTGGTACGTATGTAACTGCAGTCCTGTACGGTTGTTCTATTGTTAAACTGTCCAGAAAAAATGTGCATACTGGCTGTGTGCACATTTTACGCAGCAAATGCGTTTTTGAGCACGTTCGAAATACGTGTAAGTTCGCTACTTTGCGTTCAGGGTTGCGACTATAAGCGGAACAAAGCAAAAGTGTACAGCTCCAAGTAGCTCAAGGGGCATCGGATTCATGAATTAATAGAGATGCACCAACTATGAACTCGGAATTCAGATATAACAAACATTAGAAGTGCATTAACATAAATCTCTCTCTCATCTCTGCTTTATCTGAAGCTGTCTTCTCTCATCTCTGTCTCTTGGCTACACAACTCCCATTTCCATACATTTCTCTTTCATCTAGCGATGTATTGAAAGAGGGAAAGAGCCCAAAAATCTGTTTTTCTTAGGGCCCCCAATCGGCCAGTACCACCACTTTTTGCGTTATAACAACCATATGTCAAATGTGGCCTTCTGACGGTCTTACATCCACGTGTGCTTGGCAGCTCGGCACAGACACAATCAGAGCAGACCACCTGCTAGTGCATATGTCGCGGGATTCCAAGTCACGAACTCCTTCTTCCAAGGGAGGATACTCAAACGATGAGCCTCACAACACTGCCAGAGTACCATCGGTAATTGGTGTTCAAGGAAAGGGCAGTCTGGAATACAACACTCGCAGTCCACAGCAAGTGGTAGAACGCTCAATATTTGGTGGGATTCTCCAAGCCTGCTCTGAGTCAACACATTCGTTAATGACGCTGCCGTAAAAGAAAGAAACATACATCATCATCATCACTATCCATGGGCAGATAGCCCAGAGGTGTACACTGCACATTTTGTCGTTTGTTTAAATTTCCTTTGGCTTGTGCCAATATGCTCAAGTAGTGCACATCTTTTCTGGCACCAAAACATATATAGTGGCCCGACATTCGGGGCAATAATCCTTTTCCATTGCATCCATTTGCCTTGTAGAAGGGGCATTGCCCCAACCGTCACGTTAAACAGCATACCTGTCCCCCTTTAGGGCAGCGTTGTCGATGAATGCGTTGAGTTATTGGCATTCGTGGTTGTGAATCACTGACAATACAGTTTCGGAAAAAAGGTCATTCTTTTTTTTGACACTTGCTGCTGTGTATTCATTGTGACTGCTAGGGCAAAACTGGTGTTTCAAGATAGCAATGTGTGGCGGTATTTCCAGTTGTAATTGAAGAATTACAATAAATTGTTACATTGTCCCTTGTTTATTGCTTGTCAGAGTCAGACGGCCTGTACGAGATATCTTGTATAGGTTGCATGGTAAATTGTTTCCACATTCCAACATTGTGAGTCAAAAAGTTACTTTATTACCGTGTATGCTGTATTGTCTTACATATGTCTGCCCGTGACCACATCGGCCAGAATAGACCTGATCTTGTCAGATCTCTACAAGCAAAAGAGGCCATGGGTCGACGTGGGGTACGGACGAGGGGAGTGCAGAAACATAATTCACTGTATTGTTCTGTACTGCCATGTTTCCACACGCATGGCTCCCCGCCTTAACTAAACTCCCACTGATCTGTGTGGTGAAGTATGTGCTGAAGCAGCACCTACAACCCACACACCACTGTAAGGTCCTCATCTAGCACTAGATTAACAAAAGGGCTGCACATACGAAGCTTTTCCCGAGTGTGTTTGGCACTTTATCTACAATGATAGAGCAGGCTTTTCAAATAAACTACAAAAGTGTACACTATGAGACCTCCTTAAACAGTGGCAAAATATAGTGGTAGGTGTTTACCCTTTAAACTGGTACAAAACTGACACCTTTATACAAGGCATCATGTTTGCAATAACCACAACACAAGCAGTCAAAATGCAAACAAAAAGAAACAACTCTGATAATGATAATGATATGCACTGTCCAAACAAGATGCATTGTATAAAGGTGTCAGTTTATTTTACCAGTTTAAAGGGTAAAAACCTACTACTAAACTACAAAAGTGTTTCCCATATATGGTATAGTGAAAGAAAATTTAACTAAGCAGCTATTGTAAAGTACGGTTTATTGTGCTTTGTGAACCCACTGATGGATTAAGAACTGGATGGTGGCTGTTTCACCATATTTCACCATTATGGCGAGTATGGGTTGAAGGGGCGGTCCAGGGCCAGTCCAAATATGGGAGTGTTGCAGCGTTCAATAAAACGATTAAATTAGTAATTAACCAAATGCGAACTCACAACATGTATATTTGATTATTAACATTACATTTCTGAATCATTGAACATTGCACATTCATGACTTAAAGCTTTCGTGACTGCAGGAATTCATATTATTTGGGTCTTTCGGTAAAGTCACATAGATAGGTTCAAAGACATTTTTGTTTGTTATTTCCTTTGAACCTATCTACGTGACTTTACCAAAAAACCCAAAGAATATTGCACATTCAGTTATTCAAAGCTTCACACACAGTTAGATTTGAAAAAAAAATCCATTTAAAAGCAATCAAATAATTTTGTTCTGAGTAATAGGCCAAATTATGTGCTACGCAATGACATTTAACAGTACATTTAGTTATGGCGGTGTGGTATTGCGTCTAGAATTATATATTGGCTGTAATGCTACCACACTCTCAATATTAATTAAAGAACCACACTTCACGGGAGTACATGTTCACTTATCTTGCCAGATACATAAAACCGCATGCCTTTAAATGCTTGCATCAAACTTAATGGGCGAGTTACATATACTCTAGTGTGTGACAATGGGGCACACACACTCAGCTTGTGACATACGATATCTTGGCAGTGGATGGAATTTGACCACGGGAGATGACCACACCAAAATCAAGGTGCAGTAGCAAGTTATTACTATATTTGCATTGCTGTTTGTATTCCAATGTGCAACACTGTTCAGATCGCACTGATATATGGGACAAAGCGCTGAACATGGGAGGGTCAGCAAGGGCAGCATTATTGCTTCGTGGTTGTCGAGCATAGATCTCTCTATATTTGGCCGTGACTTTGAGCAGATCTCCAACCGCAAAAGTTCCAAGGAGACGTGTGTGCATTGTTTTAAAATGTAGATCTATGCATGATTACCTAATGTTGAAGTGAAACTGACTTGTTTTAAAGTGTGTATGAAGATTTGGGTTAGCTCTATGACATGATGCATACCAAGAACAGTCCCATAATTTGTTCGTATTTTGCCTTATAATTATAAAAAAAAAATGTGTCCACATCTGCAGTAGTATATATCATGGGCAGTGAGTGGATTTTGAGACGTTAAATGCAATGCTAGAAAGCTTTGACATTGTCACGGATTTCTACGTTTAAAAATTAAACAAGTGTGTTTCCTTGAATAGTTTAAACATTCCGTTACAAAACATTGTGGGTGGACATTGGGACCATGCAAGCTAGCCTTTCTCAGAAATCATACAAAGTCCAGCTGGCCGAATGAGGGTTGTTGCCACCCCACATCCAGAACTGTACTGTAATTGTTCCCGTTATTGGGGTATGATTGTGTGTGAGTTTGTGTACGCAAATCCCAGTCGTTTAGTCCAAGCTCAGCTTGTGTGTTTTTTTTATTTTCCTCTTTTAATCAGATCATAAGCTGACGGATGGTTCCAGTGGGTGGGCTACCTTATACAGGACACAAAGTGCAACCTAATCATTGTGTTGCGACAGTGACACAAGCAGGGCTCACAAGTAAGTCAACTCCCTGTATTTAAGCAAGAGATGTGTGAAAAACCGCATTCTTTGTACAAATTCAGTCATTTATTTGTTCTATTCCATGTAAGGGCCTTAAGCGACATTTGCATGTTCCAACATTGATTTTAATATATCATTTTTTATTTCTCTGTGTAATAATTGGATATCTGTGCTTGGAATGGTACACTTGGCTAAGATAGTGTTGTTATACAAACTGGTGCTTTTCATTTCTGGCTCAATGTTAACATTCACGTATTTATCATGACCAGATTACAGTTGAATGTGTTTCAGCTATATTGCACGAGTAAGGCCAAGTAAAGTGTGTGTGAAGTGAACTGCCAAATGCACTGTTGTACACACCAATGAGATGCAGTGTTATTTGTAATATGCACTGTAGTACACACCAACACAATCAAATAATTTTCATACATTAAATTTCAGTATTTTTTGTGCTGCTTTTCATAATATAAATTGATAAAGCTCTTGAGTTCAGCACTAATTATAACATAACATATCCGCTCTGCTGATAGCCACTGCATAGAAAATGCCATATGTCAGTTTTGAATGTAATGTCAACTTAATGTTTAATTTTAAGAGTGTTTTTTTCTGGTCTCTATATATCACTCTCCCCAGCCCATATTATCTCTTGGTCTTGAAGCACATTTTCCCGTAGCTGCTGTTAACATTATTTTGCTGGGATCTACATCATTGAATCGAAATGCCTTCAAGAGCATAGCTCCTTGGGCACATGTCTGATGGCTTGGTGAATGACGAACAAGACGAAGAATGAGAACCAGAATTAAGCACTTCATCGTTCTTCTGCTCATTGCCGTCCTGGTCATCATAGAAAAGGAAAACCATGTCATTTCAAGGTGAGTGAATGTGTGCTGCATCAGAATGCCTCTTCTCACAATGCTGCAGGGGTGAATTTCACTTCTCACTTTGGGAAGATTGATGGCTCTACCAAGCACCCCGAAACACAACAATAGATATATATTTTAAGTGTTTGCTTTGTTTTTTTGGCTGAAGGCCATGTCAGTTGGGAGCTAACACACTTGCCGTTGTCTTTGAGTGCAAGGACCACCAGTTTGGAAAAGCAATCTTGACTTCAAGGCTTGAGCTCGAACCAACAGATCACCATGCCGTTTTCGAGCAAGCCATCGCTCAGAAGGAATGCTAAAGCTAGTTTCTCTGTGTGCATGCGGTTGTCAAAGAACCAATGGTGCTCTTGCAATAAAGGCCAATTACCCTGTTCTGCACGTATTTCCCTATGCGGTATTGTATGTAACATTTTGGGGGGGGGGGGCATCTTATAATGTGGTAGGTGTGTGCGTGTGACCAGACTTGTATAATTGTATTAACATCAGACACAAGTTCGGGGTGTGCCTTACTTTCCCGAGTGTCTTATAATCCAGTGAATGTGGTAATGTACGTGTTGTCCTTTACCTCAGAACATCGTAAATGGGAAATTTTTTGTTTATCTGTAATGCCGTAAAACTACAGTACATTCTATCCAATTACGGCAAACTCTCAATTCCAAATTAATTACACGCATTTTTATTCATTTTAACATTTTTTTGCTTTTAGCAGATTAGTCCAACTGAGCCACATGATGATAATTTGCGACGAAAGCACGTGGCCTCTATGGTGGGTTAGATTGGTAATCACAGGCATATTTTCAAACGTAATTTTATAAGAATATTGCCACAAAGTGTCCGGCTCTTGTGGTGTTACTATAATCCCCAAAGTCCCAAAATAACCTGTCGTCCAAAACAACAACAACACTCTCAATTCATAATGTTTTCTTCAAACGACTCAATAAATCAAATTACGTGATCTACGTTGTAGAACATGCTCCTTTTAGCTCAATCCATTTGTCATACCCTCAGAGGTAGCTACAACTGAATCGAATGCACACCTCAATATTTGAAATGTTTTTTTTTATGCTGGCTCAGGAGCCCGATATAGACATTAGACCCCTTGCATGAACGTTATAACACAAATATACCGTTAGGTTTTTTCGGTAAAGTCACGTAGGTAAAAAAATAAAATTAAAAGTTAATAAAAGTAATAATGGAAATAAAATAAAATAATAAATCACGACGTTTCGGAGGCAACACAAGTCTCCGTCATCAGGTGGGACCGTCACAGCTAAAATTACTGCATCAACACAATTCGTCATTGTACGTTTTAACTTTGATTTAAATATAAGAATGTCATATGTACCAGTGAGGGTTTTTGGCATTTTAATTCCACGTGCTGGATACATGAATCTATCAAGAAACAAAGACGGCTGAAGGGTGCATTCAAGATATAAGCAAGAGCAAAACAAAAGTATTTTACAACAAGTTTGCTCAACAAAATAACAAGGTCATGGAGGGGCAAGGCAGGAAAATTTAAAATAACAGCTATACCTAGTGGAAGATGTTAGTTACACTCGATCTACGATGAGCTCTACGTCCAATTGAGAAGCATTATATACAGGAATGTGATGACCAGGTCAGAGCATTTCTCTCTTCAAATTGGGAGAAATCTTCCTCGAGTGAACACCACTTCACAGCAGAGCAAGCATCATTTGCCTGATTGCATGCACAGTCCATGCTGATTATAATTCTCAAAATGGAGCAATCTATTTAAACAATCCCATAAAAAATAACGCGATATAAACCCAAAAACGTTGATTATGAATAATATCGGTCGCGAAAGCCTTCGTGTTAAACCAAAATCCCATAAAAAAAACCTCCATTGTAAATATTCAGGCTCAATCTGATTCAATTAAATATTCTTGAGGATCTCTTTCTCACTTCTTCTCCAATGCTCCCACCACCGTCGAGAAATCACTTTCCCCAGCCATCGATGTTACCGGCTCCCTTGCCCCTATTCAAATCCGAGCTCAGAATCAGTCACTTCTCCTCTATCTCCCAATGTCTTTCTATTCATAAAATAAACGATGTCTAATTTTCCAGAATTCCCACGTCCCACTGTTTTGTACAGCATCTTGAGATTCAGTTTTGAATTTCTACGTGAGGCAAATCTAAATTGTATTGTATTTTATTGTGAAACGTTTGAGCCCCATGACTTCAATTGTACTTAGTTACCTTGTAAATAAGAATAGAGTAATCTACAAGTGCATGTTTCTGACAGATGGTTAAATTTTGATTATAACACACTGCCATTCATTGCATTTTTTTATTGAAATGAAAATGGCCAAAGTACACGTTTTAATTGCTTACATTTTTTAAACATACTAATTATTTTTTTACCATTCTGCTTTTGCTAAATCCTTTATGGAATGTATAGGTCATAAAATAAACTATTTTCATCATTGACGTACGGATGCCTTTTATACTGTGCATGTCTTACCTTGTGATTTTTATTGTGATATGTAATGTATGAAACATTGCTGACCTATACTTATCAAAGTCTGCGTGACATTTTTAACAATTCAGCTTGACAGTTTCAACTGGCTTTTCCTTTTTTGAGCAATTTCCGTCCAAATTGCACCATTCATACTTCATGAAGCATTATACTGAAGGGAACATGAAAACTTTAACATCATGCTCATAATTCTCTTCGTAACATTTTCTAATAACACCGCTTTACCATTTCTGTTTTTGTGCAGGGTCACGGAAAAGTTATCTGAAAATTCCATCAGTGGTAAAGTGTTTTCATACAATGAGCCGAATTCCAGGAGTATGGCGTCTCAAAACTCATCTTTGTCCACCGCTGCTGTATCGATGACCAACGACGCAAGCTCACCGAGACCTCGAGCCGACAGAAACGGCACGGTCAGGGCGGCACGCCGCCTCGCGCCGCATCAGACCAACGTGTCGTCCGTTCCGCCGAAGCCCAGCAGGAAGCACATCGTGCTGCTCACCACCACGAGGACGGGCTCCTCCTTCATTGGCGAGTTCTTCAACCAACACAAGGGGATGTTCTACCTATTCGAGCCGTTCTGGCACGTGGAGCGCACCGTCAAGCTGGCGGGGCCCTACACGGCCAGCGCCACCGCCCTGTCCATCGTGTACCGCGACGTCCTGCGGCAGCTGCTGCTGTGCGACGTCCCGTCGCTCGAGGGCTTCCTGGAGCCCCCGCCGCAGGAGCACGTGACGGGCGCGCTCTTCCGCCGCGGCTCCAGCCAGGCGCTGTGCGAGGAGCCGGCGTGCGGCGGCGGAGTCGGTGGCAGGGCCAGCAGCAGCAGCAGCACGGGGAGTACGCGCGAACGCTTCCCGTGCCGCATGCGCCGCTGCGAGGCTCTAAACCTGACGCTGGCGGCGCAAGCCTGCCTGCTCAGGGAGCACGTGGCCATCAAGACGGTGCGCATCCGAAACCTGCCCACGCTGAGGGCAGTCGTCGATGACCCGCGGCTTGACGTCAAGGCAAGTGCAGCACATCGCCCCCCCCCCCCCTACTGGCAGACTCATGCCCATTGGAAGGCCGGCGCTGTGCCACAACTGCCAAGGCATTTAACCACCCCACGAATGCAAATCTGCGTTATGTGATCAGGTGGATTTTATACTATGAACTTTGTCGCTTTAAACCTGACTTGGGAGTGGAGGCGGGGAGCCCACTTTGGGATCAATAAAATGAGAAGCACTTTGTGGCAAATTCACAATTGTCCTGTGGACAAAACCGGCTCTCGCTAAATAAACACTTAATTTTCACCACTCTCTATAATTCTACACGTTCACAATGTCATGCTGTTTGCTACTCGACTATAAGACACTGACGTGGAGATGCACTTTGCCATGAATTTCTCAGATAATCCAGCTGGTGAGAGATCCACGGGCCGTGCTGGCCTCTCGCATGGTGGCCATGCCAGGGCAGTATGAGGCCTGGGAGAAGTGGAAGCTGACCGGGGCCAAGCCAGACGACCTGGACATCAGCCGCATCAAGAACACCTGCGACAACATGAAAATCACAGCAGAGGTTGGCTGGCTTCACCTCGTCTCTCCTGGATCATTCACGTGGGGAGATCACTTCTTCCTTTGCTGCTCCCCAAAACTAGAACACTCTCTCCCTGGCCGTTTACCTTACTGAATGACAATTTTCACGAGTAATATTCCTGCAAATATTGCGGTGTGTGATTAATCTCTATTACTTTATTGCAAGCCTCTTACATTACCATCATCCACATCAACCATGTTCAGACCACTGCTGGATGAAGGCCTCACCAAGCCATCACCTTCTCCCACAATTCTGCAATGTAATAATCGCCCGAGTCTCTTCTTAACAATACGCGAAAATGCCTCTTTGACCGCCCCCTTCACTACTGCTGGCTATTGTTGTTCCCATTCCTGTACAGCATGCACAGATAATTTCGTGATGTCTTCCTTTCTGAACCCACGTTATATTTGCACGACATGTGTTCTCGACACGTCAAATGATACGGAATCAAGCTGTGAGCTTATTTGCCCGAAGATATAAAGGAAGATTAATTTCACCCATCCTCTGAGCTGAACATTATCTGGACACTGCCGCATTCAACTGAAACCAAATGATCCTGTTGAACACTGCTTCTTTAATACGTATATTCACAGTATAAAATACATATTCGGTACTGTATTCTCAACGTTAAAAATATTTATTTTATGCCACATTATTTTATCGACAATATGTAACTATGAAACTACGATGAGACAAATACTAAACACTACAAATGAGACGAAATTAATTGTTTCTTGAATGACTCCAAACACTAACACTGTTGGGGGAGGGACAACATCGCTATATGCCCTCTCTCCACCCGTAGCGCAGAGAAATAGATGGCGAAGAGTTAAAACAGCCCTGCAATTACTCGCTCATACCACTGTTGGCATATAAAGATTCCTCCACTAGACAGCACTTGTCGAGGGTATTTGGCCTAATCTTCCATGCCGGCCAGTCATTTGATAGTAAGTAAGAGCACCCACACTTTACCCCACCACACACGTCCTTCCAATCGATTTCGACGTACCCCATTTATACTGCTGGCACGGGGAGATGCCCGCACTCATTCACATTCTCTTGAGAGCGAACGCCTTCCATCAGCAGCAGCGTGTCTCAACGCGGTCGCATGCCGACAACCTCGCGCCGACCCTGTGATCTCGCCGCCAGATGGGGTGGAGCGGCGGGCAGTGGCTGCGCGGGCGCTACATGCTCGCGCGCTATGAGGACGTGTCGCGGGAGCCGCTCGCCAAGGCGCAGGAGATGTACCGCTTCGCCGGCGTCGACATGGATGCCTCCGTGGTGCGCTGGATCGAGAGGAACACGCGCGCCACCGAGCCCATGGTGGCCGTGAAGAGGGTGCTGGACATCGGTGACGTCTTCTCGACCGCGCGCAACTCGGCGAAGCAGGCGGAGCGCTGGCGCCTCTCCATCCCGTTTGCATTCGTGCAGGCCGTGCAGGAGGTGTGCGCCCCGACGTTGAGAATGTTTGGCTACCGCCTGGCCACAAGCGCCCTGGATCTCGCCAACATGAACGTCAGCCTCGTGGAGGAGCACATCCTTGGCGTGCCAACCTAGAGCAGAGTGGCAACCGCTGCCGCTGTTGCTGCTGCTGCAGAATGCCTGCCACCCGTTTGGTAATGTCTGAAGTTGTCGGAGATGACCGCAGCCATGGTTGGACATTACCATAATTCACACAGTGGAAAAAGACACTCTTCTCTAAGGACCTATGGCCATATGGCTGGACACCCTCCTCATTGATTACCATTTTATGGGCTGAGATCTGACCCACCATGATATAAGATCACAGCCAAATAATCTCCATCTAGGTTTGGCTTTTACACGCCAGCCCGATAGAAGTATGGGCCAAAGTAGCACTTTTTGGAAGCCTGAATTTATTTCCTGGCTTCAGCACTATAACTTTGGACCTGGCTAACCTTGATTAGTCATGTGAGATTGTACATAGGACCCACCCTGGCACACATATATTCTGTTTTGAAATGAGCTGAAGGGATCCATGTGGATATTTAATTCACATCTACCATCTGCTATGATGCATAGTGTTTACCTGTTAGCGGTTTATGAATGAGAGGTTGAAATCAAGGTTTCTTACGTGTGAAAACGTGCATATGTCAAAAAATATATTTAAATATATCTAATGAAAATCACAAAATTGTGAGTTTTTAGATTTATACCAAACATAGAATCAACAATTCAATACTCGAGTAAATTAATGAAAACTACATGTTGTTTGACACTGAAAACCTGACTTCCATTATCACTAAGACATTAATTTGTTATATTATCATTAAGCTACATGGGTCCCATGGTGGCAAAATGGCTCAGCACTCCAACCTCGTATCTGCCACCACTTTGTAGGTTTGAATCTAAGCAAAGCTTGCCGTGAATGGATGTGGTTTTCGAGTGCAGTTGGCTGACAGTCTCACCGCAGTTACAACTGACCACGTTTTGCATTTAATTTGGCTAAATTGCTGCTCTAAGAATCGAGGATATTGGTTTGAACAGCATGGGATGCACATTTATCTCTGTAGCTGGGCAGGTAGGAAAGTGCTGCCCCTATACTGTAGAAAATAGGTCAGTTCTGCAACATCTCCTTCTATGGACCATTCTCGAACATAAGAGGATGCAATGCTCTTCGAGATTTCAGAATGGGTTATTCGTCTCATGAAAAAGCACATTTGTAATAGATTCTTGGAAAAAGACAATAATGACATTAATTACCACATCAGTATCATGGGACCTCCTTTGCCAGTACCAAAATATGATAACGTTTTTCCCATTTTTTCTGGCAACAAAACAAAAGACACTAAAACACCATGTTTTTGTTTGAATTGTGACCACAAGAATTGTGGTTAATGCAGACATGATTCCTTGTAAAAGGTTTCAGTTTGGTGTTTTAGCGTCTGCCAGAAAAATGGGGGGAAACCTGTTATCATACAACATCAGTCCCACACTGAGACCAATTTATTTTGCATTTTGGACTCTGCTATTCTGGTGTGTAGACAAAAATAACCAGTGTCATTGTGTAAAACTATAACTAGGAAGCTAATGGGTTAGGAAATCCATGCTTAGTATGCAAACATGAAATGCATAAAATGACCTGCCATCAAAGACAGAAAGACAAATTAAGTCACGGGGTGACTGATGTTTGCTTGTTTGGCACAATCTTCACAATCACCCCATATCGATGTACTTTGACTATCTCTGGTATTTTCACAGTTGCAGCACATTATTACATTTTGGATTGCATTTTCTCGCAAAGAGGTGATATTGTAACATTGTATATGTTCGTGTGGTTGTCATATTTGTCCAAGAAACTCGAGAGAATGTGTAGTAATAATTATTTATTTACGTCGTGTATGTCATTGTTTTTGCTGGACACAACTGTATTTACATATTGAGACATTGCTTGCCTTCGCAGACGCAAGTTCACACTCAAATGCATGTTGACACAGCTTGGTAGCTTGGGAAGAGTTAATTTGCACCATCATTTAGACGCGATTCCAACAGAATTACTTTTGTTTCCATGTTACCAGTAGTGAGTGCTAGCGTGCCCGAGTGTAAATGATGGAGATATTTGATAATTACCCGCAGTTGACAAAGGTAAAGGATGACAACAACAAATTAAGATCGATGTGATAACTTTTCATTCCATTATGTACACGCGCATTGAATGTCATTGCTGCACCGCTGCAAATGTACTTAAGAAATGTTTTATATCTGCTGTGTGTGGATTAAAAAAAGGAATATGAATATCCAATGAATGATAATTATGGTTACAAAATTGTCTACTTTTTACAAAATTCATGGGGATAAAAAGTGACATGTTTCTTACAAAGTACAGCAACATACAGATAAAAGTAGCGTTGCCTGGATCGTATAGGGCAGGGGTCGGCAACCTACGGCTCCGGAGCCGCATGCGGCTCTTTACGGGCTGCTTCTTGACGATATGTACGTGAGTACAGTATGTACTCAGATGCATTGCGGCTCTTGAAATACTGAATTTTGTACCGAATTGGAAAGAAATGGCTCTTCTTGTTATTTTGGTTGCCGACCCCTGGTATAGGGGATGGGACGTTTCCACCTTGTGGGATGCTTAGTCTGCTTGCAATTAATCGGAAATGCATTGGATCAAGCACTTTGCTGGACAGAAATGACTGGTCCACCGACACGTGAGTTACATTGGTTGGTAGCTTCGGTTTCATGTGTGCGCCCCTGTGTGTTTGTGTGTGTGCAATTATGTGCGTGTGTACACACGCCATGTGTGCGTATGCATTTACGGTGCAACGTCACGTACGTGACTCGCTGGGCACTGAGATGCGGGCGGATAATGTTATGGTCAGATGCGTGAAGTTACACTGTACATCTTTATACAACAATGACTTTGTAACAATACGAACGTGCATTGGTCTGTTTCGTGTTGTGATTAAGACACTTGTATTAAATGCTGTGTACATGGAGCAATATACGGTATATGTATTCCACACAGTTTATCCAGTTTTACAAAAGCTAACAATGTCTGAATAATCACCCATAACACACAACCAGTAAGGATGTTTAATCTATTTTACGACATAGCAGCACAAGATATATATTTTAATGTTTGGATGTGCATCGCAGAAGGGAAGTTAATTTCTGTCATAACTTATGATTCGGGCATCGATGCAAATGCAAGTTCTTGCATAGAAAGATTGCAAGTCTACGATAATGTTCCCTAGCTTGTGGGTGCAGTTTGTCTTGATTACTTAATTCACGGTGTTGAGTTCATTTCATTGGTTTTTGTTCAGTGGTTGACAGTTCTGGGAGCAGGATAAGTAACACAGTGGTTTGTGCAGAATCAACTCGATTGAAAGCAACAGACGATGTAATTGTGACAAGTTCCCAATAAAATAAGGGGATGGTTAAACATGACATTGCATTGCATGGTGTGAGAATGTTAACATCTAAAGAAAATGGTTTACACTACAGTGTAAATATATACCCACCGTTTCTCTTCAGAATCGTGAGATGCGGTCACATTTAGCTTCTATATAAATTCAAATACAAAGTGTAATTTCACATACACCCCCATACTCCAGGTGAGACCAAAAATGTGGAAACGGGTCCAAAGTTTGCTTAACAAGTGCTGAAAGGCCAAGAGATGTATGTACTATAAAATATTTGATGTGTACATACAAAATAGTAGTATATTTAATTATTTAATTACCCAGAATGCTCCAGTACAGTACGTAGTTGTTATTTTTTTTGGCGTAGTTCTGTGGGCTGTAATACTGACTAGGAATAGCCCTGCATTTGAAAAGACTGCTTTGAGATGTTGAAAATGTTAATTCCATGCGCATAGTGAAGTAGTAGCTGTAATGTCACCTGTTACTTCATTTGAAATCTGACATGGGATATGACTTCAACACGAACTTGAGGCACGGGTGCAAAATAAATATTGGCATTTTGTCCAGCCATGAAGTACGTAATCTGACCATTTGTATTCTGCCCGTTAATACTCCTGGAAATAGGGAAATAACGATGTACACAAATCTGAAAAACTGTGAGCTTGAGACAGCCAGAGTGATGGACTGCAGAACGTGTGTGTGCACGAAGTGAAGAAAGGTACAGAGTTGCAAGCCCAATCACAATAATGGCATGTTTAGACAGGTCCTTAGAATACTAAATTACAAACTAAGATGTCAAGATCCTCCCAATTCAAACAAACACAGGGCTATACATCACATCTTGTTTACAGACCTCAGCAAGTGGTGTAATTCCACATTCTGGTGGCAGGGGTGAGTCTATGCATTTTACTTTCCTCAAAGGCCAGGAGTTGAACTCACAAACGTATCATTGTAGATGTCACAGTGATTCTGCAACATTGTTCTCCGTTCCTTGAATCATTTTTTATAAACTGTAAACCATTCTACTCGCCTCGCGAGTTCGCGTCGTTCATTTTGGTCGGAGTATATTTGCCGCCGGGACCTCAGGTTAAAGAGGCCCAACGCATGCTCGCCGACCAGATTCTAAGTGTGGAGCGAGCAAATCCAGATTCGATGGTTATTGTACTTGGCGAGTTTAACAAAGGTAATCTCAGCCACGAACTCCCCAAATACAGACAATTCATTAAATGCCCTACCAGAGAAGGGAACACTCTGGATCACTGTTACACTACAGTCAGTAGAGCCTACCACGCCGCCCCCAGAGCAGCACTGGGACACTCTGACCATGTCATGGTCCACCTAATTCCTGCATACAGGCAGAAACTAAAGCTCTGTAAACCTGCTGTGAGGACATTTAAACAGTGGACTAGTGAGGCTATAGAGGAATTGCGGGCGTGCTTGGACTGTACTGACTGGGATATGTTCACGACTGCTACCAATAGTCTGGATGAACTCACAGAGGCTGTGACGTCGTACATCAGCTTCTGTGAGGACTGCTGTATTCCGAACCCGCACCAGGGTGAACTTCAACAACAACAAGCCCTGGTTCTCAGCAAAGCTCAGAAGGTTGAGGTTGGAGAAGGAGGAAGCGTTTAGGAGTGGGGATAGAGACAGATTCAAGGAGTTGAAGAACAGGTTTAGCAAGGCGGTGAGAGAGGCTAAACGACTGTACTCAGAGAGACTAAAACACCAGTTCTCTGCTAACGACTCTGCTTCTGTCTGGAGAGGGCTCAGGCAGATCACCAACTACAAGCCCAGAGCCCCCCACACCACTAACGACTCCCGCCTAGCCAACGACCTGAACGAGTTCTACTGCAGATTTGAAAGACAATTGGACTGTCCTGAACTACCCCTTCCCACCCAAGAGGCCCCTATCCCACCCCACACTACAGAGACAACTATCTCCATTCAGGAGGGAGAAGTTAAAAAAACTTTTCAAGAGGCAGAACCCACACAAAGCAGCTGGGCCGGACTCTGTCTCTCCAGCCACCCTCAGGCACTGCGCGGACCAGCTGTCTCCAGTGTTCACCAACATCTTTACCACCTCCATGGAGACATGTCATGTACCAGCCTGTCTCAAGTACTCCATCATCATTCCAGTGCCCAAAAAGCCAAGGCCAACAGGATTAAATGATTACAGACCCATCGCCCTTACCTCCGTGGTAATGAAGTCTTTTGAGCGCCTGGTCCTGGCACACCTCAAAGCCATCACAGACCCTCTACTGGACCCCCTTCAGTTTGCCTACAGAGCCAACAGGTCTGTGGATGACGCAGTTAACATGGCCCTCCACTTCACCCTACAGCATCTGGACTCCACAGCATCCTACGCCAGGATCCTGTTTGTGGACTTTAGCTCGGCTTTTAACACCATCATTCCTAGCCTGCTTCAGGACAAGCTCTCCCTGCTGAACGTGCCAGACTCCACCTGCAGATGGATCACAGACTTCCTGTCTGACAGGAAGCAGTGTGTCAAACTGGGATCACAAGTTTCTGCCGCCAGGTCAATCAGCACCGGATCTCCTCAGGGCTGCGTCCTTTCCCCTCTGCTATTCACCCTGTACACCAACAGCTGCACCTCCAGTCACCAGTCTGTCAAACTCTTGAAGTTTGCGGACGACACCACCCTCATTGGGCTAATCTCTGATTGGGGTGAGTCTGACTATAGGAGGGAAGCTGACAACCTGGTGACCTGGTGTAGCCAGAACAACCTGGAGCTTAATGCTCTTAAGACCGTGGAGATGGTTGTGGACTTCAGGAAGAATACAGCCCCACTCACCCCCATCACCCTGTGCGACTCCCCAGTCACCAATGTTGAGTCCTTCCGCTTCCTGGGCACTATTCTTTCCCAGGACCTCAAGTGGGAACTGAACATCAGCTCCCTTATCAAGAGAGCTCAACAGAGAATGTACTTCCTACGGCAGCTGAAGAAATTTAATCTGCCAAAGACAATGATGGTGTGCTTCTATACAGCTATCATTCGGTCGATCCTCACCTCCTCCATCACCGTCTGGTACGCTGCTGCAACTGCCAAGGACAAGAGCAGACTGCAGCGTATCATCCGCACTGCTGAGAAGGTGATTGGCTGTAATCTACCAACCCTTGAGGACCTGCACACTTTGAGGACCCTGAAGCGAGCGAGGAAGATTGCGGACGATTCCTCGCACCCTGGATACTCTCTGTTCCAGCTACTCCCCTCCGGCAGAAGGCTGCGGTCCATCAAGACCAAAACCTCACGTCATAAAAACAGTTTTTTCCCATCTGCTGTTGGCCTCCTCAACAAGGCCAAGGGCTTAAAATGACTTTTACACTTAAAATGACTGTTACACTTACTATAACATTTTATCTACATAATTACACCTTTCCATACTTACAACGTGTAATCTTATTTGTATTTTTGTATTTTAAGATTGTTTAATACGGCTAATTAACATTTTACATTCGCATTTTATAAGGTCTACTTATTCATAATTTTAAAGATTTTAGCCCTTTGGTATTACTTATACTTTGTAACGTTAGTATAGTTAGAGTGTATACCTTTTATATAAGTTAAGATTCCTACTTGTTCAATGTATGCACCGTCCCGCCATAGTGAATTCCTTGTTTGTGCAAACTTACATGGCGATTAAAACCGTTTCTGATTCTGATTGTGAGCTGCAGACCCTAACCACTGCACCATGCAGCCAGATGCAATATTTTCCTTTGCCAGAAGCTTTATTCAGCAATGGTCATGCACAGCACGACAATCTGGGTTCTGTATTCTTAGAATTACCCAGACTCCTATGTGCGGCTGTGGCATCACACAGGAGTTTCCATATATTGTCACAACCACTCTACAAACGTTCTGACATTCTCTTACTATTATCTAGTAGGACAAAAAACATGCTACATAGAACTTCTATATATATACACGTATTATAGGGAAAATAACGTCGCATAACGTTAACATTTAAGTTTGAGAATAAAGTATTGTAAATGTATTTTACACTCTTAACAGATCAACTACCATGTGAATGTATTTTTGACTGCTGCCGCCGATAAAACAAAGCTGCATATTGTATTCTACTCGAAATTAAACGCACGGTAGTTATGCTAATATAGTATGAAAGGAGGACACGTAGATGTGATTCCAGGCTGCATTCTAGGTGTGTCCCTTCAGCTTGGTTCGGAGTCGAATCACACCAATTTTTGCAGCAAAAAAATCATCACTTCGGTGAATCAATATTAATGTGACCCAATCATCGACGTGTGAACCAATGTGTAAATCAATCATATTTCAATCATTTATAGTATTAAGAATTAGTAGTTGGCTGAAGTCTTCATTCGAATTACAAATTGATTCATTTAATGGATTGCTCGGTGATAGATTCAACAATTCACTGCCAGTAAGAGCTTGGCCACTTAGCAGCCCAAACCTACAACACCTCGTGTTTCCAGGCAATCTCCCATCCAAGACTAATTCGGGTCCAATCCTGCTTCGCTTCGAGATATGAAATCTTGGGCACATATCGGATGACTTGGCAGTTCCTGTAATTATTTTCAACACTGACAATGATGCAAATTAATTAATGTTATGGTCACCAAGGATGTATCAAGCACGGCAAAACACTTTAGTGAATGCCAGTCTTCATAAAAACTAATGCTAAGTTCAAACTTAATTGTGGAGCTTACGTGACTGCAGGAATTGCTCTTTGGTTCTTTCGGTAAAGTCACGTAGAAAGAGAAAATAAATATGTAATGTTGTATTTTCTCTTTATACGTGACTTTACCGAAAGAACCAAAGAGTAATTCTAAGTTATATGTGAATTAAATCATTAGTCGTTATATTCTTGTTGCGGTACATTTGCGAATTGATTAATTCACGGCATCTTTCAATCTGTGTGTCTATGTAATTATTATATTCTTGGGTCTTTCGGTAATTATTATTTCGCGTTTATGTATGTGTGGCAGCCATACATCGATTGGACTAGCACCATCATGTAAACGTCGCGCATTCATACAATGTATTGATGTCCCGATGCTCATTATCGCGATACAAAGATAGCGCAAGATGTCATGTCATCCATGCTGTGATGTACTGCACATTCCCTTGCATGGCAAAGATGACACTGTACAGTGTAGACATCTGGCTACAGTCAGTTTGTGATGTATTCTTTATTACGTGCAACACAATAACTGCGTCTGAAGAGAGATCCACTCCCATCAGTTTGGGTCATTCCAGGGTGGAGGTGTATGCTCAAATGGTATGTGGGACACATCCCAAATGGGCATTTGTTTAAGTTACGTATAAAGCTGGTCGTCTGCCGCCTCATTGAGTCAACTGCCCCCTTTTTTTGTCGAGTGCTACCTCACCGTGTCCACTGCCCCCTCGTTGAGTCGACTCACTGTGTCGACTACCCCCCCCCCCCCCCACCAACACTGCCTCATCACATAGACATAGAGCAGGTTAAAGAAGAGGGAATTAAGGTAGGAGTGCTGCTTGAATGTATGGACCAGAGAGCTGGACTCGAAGAACAATGGAAATCGGCTGTTGGAATGTAAGCACAGGTGTCAGAGACGGATGATGGGAAATGCCCTGGCAAGGCAAGCTAAGCAATGTGGACATCCGGAAGGGAACGTGGCAGGTAAGTGGCGTGTTTATGATTTGGCGTGGCAGGCTCCACTGGACGGGATGTGTCTCAGGATGGAGGAGGGCTGGTTACCGCGACGGGCATTTGGGAGTTTTGACTTAAAATTTTCGTGACTGCGGGAATTCATATTCTTGTTTTTTTTTTGGTAAAGTCACGTAAATAGAAAACAATGAATTTTGAAAAAAAATACAAATCAAATATAGTACAAATTC